TTTCCATAAGGGTGTCTCCTGCATTTTCTAAGATTCTTATAGTTTGAGGTTTTATGTTTAGATCTTATCTCATTGTTAACCACACAGTGAAATCATCACAGGTGGTCATTAAACTCTGCCTCCTTTCAACCCCCAGTGACACACAGATATCTGTGAACTCTCCAAATTCTGGAAGCTATATTTAATGACTACCTAGTAAGAGAATTTATCAGGTTTATTGTGTGTAGGTAACTTGGCTCGTTCTGATGCCAGAGGATAATTAAGTGGACAGTAGTCAGATGGGTTGGAGAATACACTTTTCTGCCTAGTAGAGTGTTTCCATGTATATAACACACATGATACCAATTTTCAGAGAATTGGAATGCATATGAACAAAGCAAAATACTTTAATCTCTCTCTGATTTAAAGAACAGTTACACAATTCAACACACACAGTACTGGAGATTGAGCTGATGCCATATTGAGCTTAGGACATTCCCTGGAAGTTGATTTAGCCATTTATCTCTGTCTCATAAAATTAAAGAGCAGATTGTGGTAGAAAAAAATCCAGTATTTCAGTTTTCTGGTTACTAGAACTATAGATGAAGAGAATATTATGACTATTTTCCAAAGGTTATTTTCTGAAAGATGTTTCATTTTTCATATAGAAATAATAAAAATGTAGGTTGTCTCAATAGCTGTAATTTTAAAAAATTAAGTAGAGCGATGCCTTCTGCCAACATTTTAAATTGGCATTCCGCACAGCCAAAAACTCTGATCTTCACTGTTACCTAATCTGGGATTTTAACTACTATTTCCAGGCTATTAAGTGCCACATCTGGACTCCTAGTGATTACATCAGGATGCCCCTGTTCTTTCCATATTGATCAGCAGCGTCCTTTTCCCCAACAGTTGATAAATTTATTAGTAACTATCCAGGCTGCCCCAGCTTTAGGCAATTGTCTTCTTAAGAATTATAGTATTTATTCATTGGAGGATAATAAGACAAGGGAAGAAGTCAAATAATTTCACTTATAACTTGCAGCTGTTTTATACAGAGCACTGCTTCACAGAGAAGAGAGCCTGCAGTTTATATATTATACAATGTCCCTTCTTTGCATGAGACATTGTGAATAATTTTTTTACAAGATGCACTTTATTTATGGGCAGGTCCCTCCATAGAAAGAGCTTGTTAGGGCTTAATGCTGATGAATGGAGACAGCACCATTCACACCTGCAGGTTATGGTCTGTCAGTGCTTTCATTATATGCACTAATTTACAAGGATTTATTTATTTTCTCCCAAAGTGTATAAATGTGCTCCAAGTTAAACATGCTGTCTGGGCATCTGAGGCCAATGTATTCCTTGGTAGAGGGAATGGGTTGGGCAGGGAGACTCAAACTATTGAGTGTGGTTCTTCCCACCTCCACCCCCAACTACCTGCATTACTGACTAACCTTGAGGTAATATCTGAGATACATGTTTCTTTTTCTTCCTTTAAAAATGATTACTAGTTACAATTTTAAAATTTGGAAGTGGTTTTCTTAATGCAGCTTCAATCTTTTCTTATCCAAAGACTGTACCTTTGATTGTATTATAAGTGCTAATGAAAACACTATTAGTAAACACATCAATGGCAATAACCATTGGAAAAAATTTGCCCACAACATTGGGTACCAAGTTTTTGAGTGCAACACTATCAAAATATGAAAGTAAATTGAATTGGCAGATTTTGCTAGCCCCAGATGACTTTATGTGATCTGAAATCACTCACATGCCCATCTCTGAAGAGTAAGCTTAAAATATATACTGGGCATGTGTCACCTCCTTCCATTCAGACTAACAAGAAATAATAGGTCTATTGCCTCATCACAATCCTTGAGTTATAACAATACTCATTATGGGAGGGGAAACCTCCTCCAGATAATGAACAAAGTAATTCTCTTTTTCCTGCTTAGGATCTCAAATTTGGTTTTTGCCATCAGAGAAAACTAAATACCCCTTAAACTTTTCCAGTGAAGAGGTTACAAACTAGTTGCTTGGGGAGTTTGTTTGTGGGTCAGTTGGCTGGTTGGTTGGTTTGTTGGTTAGTTTCGGTTGGTTGGTTGGCTGGGAAGGGAATAGAAGGGAAGGGAAGGAAAACATGAGCATATAAAATATACCTAGGTGTATTTATAAAGCACCTATCACACAGTTTCCTCAAAGCCCTTTATATTAATACTATTTATTTTCAACCCCAAACATAAGTAACCCAATCAGAGTTAATTATAGAGTCTCAAGGAAAAAGGAATTTGGACCATGATAAAAAGAAGTTGCTACACAAATAAATGAAAGGAGAATATTCTACAAACTATCAGCACAATAAGCCCTGGAGGCAAATAGTGAGTATAAGACCAACTTATTTCAAGGACACTCTACAGACTTACTTCAAAGGACACTCATCTGTGGAACTCGGCTGGCGTGAACAGAGACAGAAGTTCACAGTGTTTAAAACTTCACAAAAACTAAAAATGGGAAAACCATGCAAAGTCCAAGATTATCCTCCCTGCATCAGCCTAAATTTTGCACTTTCATGGGGATGATAGGTGTGATAGTCAAGAAACAGGATTGTCCTACCTGATATCCTACCTGATGTCTGCATAAAGATGTAAAGAGCTTTCTATATATACTAGTTAGGAATACACTTTTTTCTCTGTACCTTTTGTGAGCTTGCTCACACTTTCAGGGTATCAGATTCTCTAAGTTTATTACCTCCTCGTAAGAGCAACACTTGACATTATTTTTAATGTATTTAACTTAACTTTCAGATTATTCCTCATAGTCTTAGTTGCGGTATATCTAGATTCTTTATCCTTTGGCCCTCACAGAGCCTAGCGTACTGGCGTTCAGAACATATTTATTAAATGATTCATGATTTCATACAGTTCGAGCACATCTCAGCCTTTCTCTTTCCAGATTTGAATCATGATCTGTCAGTTCATCCTCTTATGACAGTCAATTTTAAATTTTAAATTCAACAACATTGAATATAGAGGTCACAGAAGGTCGTCCCAAATCATAGGCCTTCCACAAACCAGACCAAATTCTAGGCAGTCAAGAACTTGATTTTACTAAAACAAAATCAAAAGGAAAAAAGTTCCCCTTAGTTCACCTTCAGCCCAAATGTTCTACTGATGAAATTTGACCTACCCCAATCTTGTCTTTTATTGTACCCTACATCTTTAAAATAAAAAAGTAATAAAATTTTAAAAAGTCTTTTTATAAGCCTCCTTAAAGGTCCTGATGCCCCTAAAAAGGATAAAAAGATTTATTGACATGGAATTTTCTTTGGAAAAGTTTGGACATGCTGGTTTCCTTGGAGAACTCACCAAAACATAGATGATTTTAGAAATATTCAGGGAGCACTAAAACAAATCTATAACATCTAGAGATGTTCAAGATTAATACTTCATGAGGAACATCAGGATTGATCAAAGTATACCATAAAACCAAGTCTTGATATTAACCTCCTGCAACGAATTAGCTCATCTAAAAGCAGTTTGTTAAATTGTGTTTACAAACTGTCATTAGATATATTCACGTTTTGCTAGGAAATTGGTGTGTGTTGTGTTGTGTTAACTGGACATGCTTGTTAGTACAGAAGTTCCTAACTTTAATATACACTCAGTGAGTTTCACCTCATCTGGATAAAGAAGAGAGGAGAAAAGACTGAATTGTAGGCTAGTTTGAAAAATGTCACGTGGTTATTTTCAAGAGCACTGTCAAAAGCACCAAGGGAAACATGAGTTGAGCCACATGTTCAAGTGTGTCTGATGCTTTTTATATGTATTGTTTAATGTGGTACAACAACCTAGGTATAGAGTAAGCAGCTCATGTCAAAGACTGACCCTGTCTTAAAACTGAGCCCTAAGCCAGGCTCGGTATCTCAGCCTGTAATCCTGCGCCTTTGGGAGGCTGAGGTGAGTGGATTGCCTGAGCCCGTGGGTTCGAGACCCGCCTGGGCAGGCGAGACCTCATCTCTACAATAAATCAAAAAATTAGCTGGGCATGGTAGCGCGTGCCTGTAGTTCCAGCTACTTGGAAAGCTGAGGTGGAAGGATCGCCGGAGCCCGGCAGGTCGAGGTTGCACTCCAGTCTGGGCGACAGAGTGAGACTCCAACTCAAAATTAAAAAAAAAAAAAACTGAGCCCTGTCTCATCCCGGGCAAATCAGAACAGTGGCTCACCTTAGTTAGGTAAGACAGGTCTTATGAAAAAGGAGGTGGAAATTTGGAAAGAAGTGGCTTAATCAAAGTTATACATCTGTTGTAAGTGGTGCATTCAGTATTAGAACCCAAGCCTTCTAACTGCTATCATAGTAAACATTCCAAGAAACCAGTCTGTAATTAATACAGTGCATAAAAACTCCTGTGAAAATTGTATTGGTTTTATTTTTTTTCTAAAAGCTTCTCCAGTCTCTTTGTAATGCCATAATTGTACTCTCCAACTCCTCCTTTTTAATAGATAATATACATGAAAAAAACTCATCCCAGTTTATCAGAATTATTATAAACCCTCTGCTAACCAAGTGTGAATTGATGAAAATAATTGTAATGCTTTTCAAGTCAGTAATTTCCTAATATAACCATGAAAATAAGCAGCAGCCTGTGTGTCCTCATCCTAAAAGAAATGCAACATGCACAACCTCCTCTGTCTTTTCCCACTTATTTTAAGAAAAGATTTTTTTTTCTGTTTATAGGGGTAATAAACTATCAAGGGGGTGGAAATGTAAAACTGAACAAAACAAAATTATTAGACCTGGCTTTATCTTTGTATGTTACTTTTTGTCACTTCTTCTCAAGACACAGAAGTGAATGTTTGTCTCAACGAACCACCCTCATTACTGTCCTGTCTGTACCGAGCAAAATGGAATCCATATGTCTTTAAAATGCCTTTCCATTGCTATGGTTTTTTTCAAAATACTGATCTTCGTGAAATTGTGGCCCACTAGACTCCTAATGCTCATTTGCACTTTCCCAACAGGCATCACAGTTGATAGGCATGGATTCATTTACTTTGTGGATGGGACTATGATTCGGAGAATTGATGAGAATGCTGTGATCACAACGGTAATCGGCTCAAATGGTCTGACTTCCACACAGCCACTGAGCTGTGACTCAGGAATGGACATCACTCAGGTAGGCACCACTGGTTTTCAAGTGTTATCACCATTTGGCATCATGGAAATGGATAACAATTTTCTCATATAGAAATTAGGTAGAAAGGAGGTCTGGTGTATCTGTTATAACACCAGATAGCAAAAGATTCTCTTTATGTAAGTTACTCTTTTCCTCCTCAGAAAAACTTAGAAGAAAACAGAAAGCTAGAATAAAAGTAGTGCTAGATGGAATATTGGCATAACAATTAGAATAAAGTCTCTCAAATTTGAATCAATTAGAAGCGAATCTCATTTATTGAATATTTTTCAAGGTATGTAATTTTATTAGTTTTAAATTAAACAATAACTTGAATTTGGAAAAGTAATGACTACTATAGCTCTTTGGAAATCTTTTTAAAATGAATATATGAGCATGACTTGCTATTCGTGTGTATACAAATAGCTATTTCTAGGATGTTTGAAAATGTTCTTGAGTAAAAACAACCCCCTCTGAGATTTGTTTTACATTTATTTAGGAATTTTGTTTAGGCTACTGAGAATAAAAGATAAAATTCTATGTCACTGTAATCTGGGTCCAAAATTCTGATTTTACCACAATTCTCCAAAATCAGAATTAGTCATGTAGAGAGGTTATAGAGCATCCAGCACAGTCCCAGTATTCTGTGGATGGCACAAAAGTTTGATATGTAAAATGAAGAAAATAGATTAAACAGTCCTCCAAAGAACTCTCCAGTTCTAAAATCCCATAAATCTGTGACTCCAATGAAGTAGATTATTAAATAATCATTTCCAAAAATTAGAGTGGATGTTGAGAGTTTTAGAATTGATTAGTGTATCAGAAAGGATGGTTTTGGCTGCCAGTAATAAAACACTTGTCTAGCCAGGCTCCGTGGCTCAGCCTGTAATCCCGCGCTTCGGGAGGCAGAGGTGAGTGGATTGCCTGAGCCCGCGGGTTCGAGACCCGCCTGGGCAACTTGGCGAGACCTCATCTCTACAAGAAATCAAAAAATTAGCCGGGCATGGTAGCGCGCACCTGTAGTTCCAGCTACTTGGAAGGCTGAGGCGGAAGGATCGCCGGAGCCCAGTAGGTCGAGGCTGCAGTGGTCGGGAGCAGCCACTGGACTCCAGTCTGTCGACAGAGTGAGACTGCAACTCAAAAAAATAAATAAGTAAAAATAAAAAAAAAATAAAACACTTGCCTAAAAGTCGTTTAAACAATAAGGTTTTATCATCTCACATAATGAGATGTCCAGAAGCAAAAATGTCAGCAGATTTCCTTCTTGTGTCACATTGACCAGAACTGAGTCACATGCTCATGCCTTCACCAGTTACTGGCAAAATGGAAATGTGATTTTCATAAGATTCAGACCCTTGGGAACTGGCTCCCCTTCTATAAGAATACTGCTACCTGATTCTACCTGAACCAAAGTCAGGGTTATGTTGTCAAGGAAAGGTTGCTGTGGGGTAGGCAACCAGCAGTGTCCTCCGCAGTTAGGATATTTCTTTTACTTCATTTGTCATACCACCTAAAACCTAGGAAAACACTGAAAGTAAAGAGAACACATCACCCAGAAACCTCGCCTTAGTCATTATTTCCAATATCCCCTCCCACCTATACCCACCATACACATCTCTTTAAAACACTAGAAATGGTCCTGTTTGAGACTTCTTTTCTCTTTGTCCATGCCCTGCCCTGCCCTGGAAACTCAGAAAAATGGTCAAATATAATCAACTATAAAAATAAAATGGATTAGGCCTGGAAAACTGACAAGATTAACAAACCATTCTTAGTAAAGATTTGAGTGGATCAGGCTATCAAGTCCTAGAACAGTCTAACTTTGTATGACTCAAAATTCTACAGAAGTCAAGGCAAAATAGCACTACTTATGACGGGAAGGGTGTGAGTGTATTTATATGGGGGAAGGGGAAGAAAAAAGATACACATGTATGATTCACTTGTGAGTTATTTTTAACTTAAAATAAGACATTTAGTATTCCAATTAGTCAGTTCTAAGCAACTTTTCTCTTTCTGTATGGAAAAGTTATGCTGAAATGAGAATTATTTGTCTACATAGAACAAACGTGATCCATATCACCATGGATGGATTCTTTTTCACATGACACTTTCCAAACATAATTGCCACCATAAAATCTACCTCATCTTTTTCAGTTGGGATGTATAATGCAGCCCACTGAAAAGGAAACCTGGCAACCAAAAGATAGAATCACATTTTCTCTTTGGCATTTCATTCCAAGCCTCAGTTTCTCTGAAGTACCTTCCTTTCCTTTTCCTTACTTAGCTTCAGATTTAGAAACACAGTGGATTTGGGGGACATTAAGGATTGCATTAGATAAGAGAAAATGTTAGAAGCCAGCAGGACTTACTAGGAAAGAAAGCAGGCTTTATGTTCAAATTATTTGGAGGCTACCTCATGCTATTCACCATCTCCTGTTTTGTGCTTGAAGCATACTAAAGATTAACTGCAATTTGTCCACTAGACTGGCTCAGATCCAGGAGGCCTTATTGATCTCTACCTTAGTGTCCAGATTATCACCCTCTACCGTATGCTTCTCGTGGCCCCAGTCCCCCAGCCTGAAATTACCTCTTCTTATCCAAATCTCATTCCCCAACCTTCTCACACCTCACCTCTTCCATGGAAACTTTCCCTGATGATTCTAGTCTTCAGTGTTGTATGATTCCCTTACTGGAATTTAATATCATTATGCTTAATATTTAAATTGTTTTTTGTTGGCAAACTGTGTGTCCAATGAGTCTCCCATGGTAGACTGTGTGTTCCTTGAACGTGCATAGTAAGTGCTCAGCAAGCACAGTGAACAAATATATAGCTGGACCAAAAGGACACAATGGTGAAAAGAATATGAAGAAGTAGTGAGAGAGAAAGCTAGAGAGGTAAGTGGGGGGTGAAATGGTGAGGATCTTATTCATGATAGAGTTTTGATTTTATCCAGTGGACAATGAGGAGCCAGTAATAGCATTAAGCAGGGAAATGCAATTTTAAAATAGTATTATGCATGAAAATTATTTTTTAAAGATCATTCTTGGAGAATTAAGTGGAACAAAATTAGTGCTGGAGGCAAGGAGACCACTTAAGAGGCTTAAGTAATCCAGGTGTGACAGGGACAGCACATCTCAATATACAAATAATTAGTGCTTTTCCAAGGGACGACTATACAAATTAAGTTGTCTTCTAATGCTTTTTGGATGTTCAGTTCAGAATTCTTTGGAATATAGCTCTGTGACGAGACTGTCCATGAAGCTGCTCAGCTTTATGCAGGCTACGTACACAAGCAGTGTTAATGGTCGAACCTGAAGTATCACAGTATGGATTGAGAAAGCTAGATGGATTACTGAAATATTGGAGTTAATATCAAAGAACTTGATGACTGACATTGTCATAATTAAGGAAGGATGTAATGGTGGTATCATTCACTGAGACAGGGAATTCAGGAGGAAGAGAAACAAGTTGTAGTGATGGTTGGATAATGGGCTCAGTTTAAGGTACGTTGAGTCTGAGGTGCCTATGTGTCACCCAGGTAAAGGCATCTGACAGGCAAGTGGATATAGCTCTAAAGCTTGAGGTTTGAAATACAGATTAGATTGTAATTACTATTAGTTTATACATGGTAATGGCAAATGAGGGAATGGATGAGATCTCTCAAGAAGGGAACATAACATAAAAGAAGAGAAGGCTTAAGACCAAACTCTGAGGAACACCAATATTCAAGAGAAAGCTGAAGAATGGAAACCCACAAACGACACTGAGAGTAAAAGACCTGGCAAGTCAACGGAAAACCAGGAAGGTGTAAAAAAAAAAAAAGAGAGAGAGAAAGAGACAAGGAAAATAAGCTTTTCAAGAATAAGGGAAGGGTCAATATCAAATGCTGCTTAGAGATCACGGAAAATAAGGTGCTTTTTTAAAGAAACCATTTGTTTTTACATTAGTGATTCTGATAAAAAGTGTTTTGGGTAGAGTGCTGATGAATAGGAGTCAGATTGCAGTGGAATAGTGGGAAGTGAGGAAATGAAGAAAATGAAAATACATAATTTCTTTGAGATGTTTGGTTGGGAAGAAGAGACTTTGCCATTGAAGCAAATCAGCTCCTAGGCGTGGACAAACCAGCATCCAGGTATGGCAGAGGTAGACAAAAGCTGAAGGATAGTGAATGAAATCAATGAGTGACTGGGATACAGTGTTTACCAGGAGGAAGCGTGTGTGTGGTGCAGCTTCCTGGATGCTCAACCGTTGTGACGGGAGCCTCCCATCTGTTTAGACAACTGTGGCAGATTAGCAACCGATGTTTCCCATGACTGTACTTAAGAACATGGACTGTCTTCAGCAAGAAAGAAGAAAGCTGAGTAGGGAGCTTCATAACACCTTCCAGTAGCAAAGCCTTAGTTGTTTATAGTAGTACTTACAGTGATCCAGCTGAGCTTACACAGTGCTCAGTTTTATATTTCAGTAAATCAAACTATATTGATGGGAGATGGCAGGGACAAATGTCTAAATGAGAGCACATGGTTTCTGCTGGCAGGAATGGACAGGAGAGAAAATAGAGGCCTGTGCTGCAGCATGAAGATTTGAATCAGACATTGAGGAAAACTTACTGTGTCTAAGACTTTGTGGCAGCATCATATACTATCAAAAGATTTTGTGGAGTTCCCACCTTTTGAAACTTCTCAAGCAAATACTGGGCAGAAATAATCTATGAATACTTGACAAACAGGCCTCTCTGGAGCCAGGAAGATGGACCAGCTGTTTTCTCGAGGTTGCTTCCAACTCCATGAAGGTTTTTGTAAAAAACTATATCCAAAGTTTCAGTTTCTTGTTACCTTTCCTGCATTTCAAAACCAAACGATCTCCAACAAAGATAGGCCCATCAATTCTAGCATAGAATTGGAGGTTGGAAAGTGATGAGAAGCAACGGTTCTCTTTCTCTTACTAGCTTTTGTCTTCTGTACTTTTTTGAGGCAAACCTCGGCCCCAGTGAGAAGCAGTT